GGAAACATTCAAGGTCAGGTTGGACGGGGCTCTGAGCAACCTGATCTAGTTGAAGATGTCCCTGCTCATTGCAGGGGGGTTGGACTAGGTGACCTTTAGAGGTCCCTTCCAACCCAAACTATTCTATGATTCTATAATCAAAATGTTCTCCTCAGACCCTTTCTTTTTCGGTGTCTAAATGCTGAATATGGGCATCAGAAAAATTCCATTGGGCTCCTTGGAAGTTTTACATATGCAGTAACTTTTTGACAGCATTCTTGGAAGATAGAAAATATTTCCCTCTGTTGACTTGTTCTCTTCATAGAGCAGAAGACATATTGTTGTGTTTAGCATTGGCTAATATCTCTCTGGTTTCCAGTCAAATGAGGGAAGATAATTTCAGCCATCAACTTAGATCCTTTCATGTGTTCTGACTGCTTCATTTGGCACAGTACTTAGCTGTGTTTACTATCATGCAATAATAACATCCTCTGCTTTTCTCCTCTGCCAGGCTTGTCTTATTTTAAAATTAATTTTCACTGAACCCTCCTTAGTATCACTTTTATTGTATTAATCTACTGTTCCTTGTTTTTTTTCTGAAACAGAATAATTCAGTTTTGTTACTTAATTTTAGTAAATTCATATCTTTGGATTTAAACAGATTATAAATGTCATCTCCATTTCTTGTAGTTGTCATTTTTTCCATTCCTTTTTATTCCTTGATTATTTCGTTTTAGATTATCAGTGTTACTCGTAAATTATACTGTATTTTTAGATCTTTTTATTTCTTTGGATTTCCCAAGGCAGCAGTCCTTAAGCTGTTTTTATTTTACATCTACATTCCTTGATGGTGAGCTTATAGCTTCCTTTCCCTCTCCCCTCTTTTTCCATTTCCTGTATAATTTTTCTTGTGTTTCAGATGTTAACGGCTTTCAGCTATAAGAATTTTAAAATAATGAAGTCAATTTTAGAATGATTACCTCTTTTTTTACTTGAATGAGGTTTACTTTACATAAAGTTAATTTGGTAATACAGCTGCTTATGAGCTAATCCTGCTTTCCTCTCTTAGATGATTAATCTACTGAAGTCATTGGACTTACTTGCAGAAGTAAGAAATGTAAAAATCTGCTTTATTTAATTGTTCCACAGACATAATTACTTTGGAGCCATTATGATCAGATTTTTTCTCCTCTTTTCACATACAATTGTGTTCCTCGTGTTCATTAATATCCAGCTCAGATTGCGTCATTGGTTGCTATTCTTTCACGTTTTTGTGTATGAAGCCATATTACATTATATCTAAGGTTATCCTCTTCATTCAGTTACATGCTTCTGTTTTCTTTCAGTCCAATCAGTGAGAGTCGAAGAGTGCTGCAAGAATCATGCGAATTTTTCTTGAGGCACAATTCCAAAGTTAAACATAAAAAGAAGCACTACAAATCAACTTCGCACAGATTGAAAGTCATTTCGAAGTCAATGGGGACTAGTACGGGTGGCACAACAAATCATGGAACTTCTGCAGTAGCAATCACTAATCATGATTACTTAAGCCAAGAAACTGTTGCAGAAATTAAAACCTCTCCAGAGACATCTGAGAAAGAGGTAGAGGCAGAGGGAACATCAGCCCGAAGAGTTGAGGAAGGTGAAAACAGTGGAGAACAAATGTTGTCTGGTTCTAAACTGACCGTGGATCAGGAAAAAAGAAACAAATCAGATAGCACATGTGATATGAGTAGCTTGGCTGAGAGTATGAAGAGAGTAGGGGAAGGAAGGTAAGGTTCCTAAACTCAGTCTTTTGCTTGTGTGTTTCACCACTATTTTTGTAAGTTTTCTGTCACTTCTCTCTGAAGAATCAGTATACTCTCAGTATACAATTAACCTTTAGTAGCTGTCAAGAGTACTCTAATTCTTACGTGGCCACATGAAATAGTTTGTGTCTTTAGCATATGGGCTATTTTGTATTTTTTTTAGGATTATTCTTTTCCTTTTAAGCATTGAGTGCTGGAGCTTAGCTCATAGGTTATCTCTGTATTGTTGAGCAGTGACCCTCAAGGAATCTGTGGCTGCAATGCAATCATTTTGAGATGTGACAAGTCTGAAAAAGAACAACAGTGACCCTAAGCTTGAAAAGTGAACAGAACTGTATTGCATTCTCTTGAAAAAAGAATATAGGTTAAGATATGTTATAATTGCGTTGCTAAAAATGTGGTTTTTGCAGTGTAATGCACTGTGCTTAAAATTGACTCCCCGTGTTTTATTTTTCATTACTTACAGAATAACTCCTAAGAATGATTTTATTGAATCTCCTCCATTACAAAGCAGCTGTTCCCAAATACCTGGAGTCTCACAGTCAGCTTCCGTATCGCTACTTGTCTACTCGGCTTCAGACACCAGAAGAGAGTTGGATTCAGGAAACAGTTCAAACCCTTGAAAGATTGAAATTTTATATGAACATTTTCAATGTATAAAACTGATACGGATTCTGTTACACTGGAAATAACTGATATTCTGTGCCTTATTAAAAACCACACATATCTTGCTTTGCACTTAAAAAATGTAAGTTTTGTTGTAGGGACAGCTAGCAATAATGTACTATATTTAATCCTATCCAGGAATAATGGAAATGGAAATTCTGTAGGACATGGCTGGATTGACTAGCAGTAATTTAAGAAAAAGATGAGAGAAACGAATATTATTCCCAGCATAAGGAACACTTAGTAATGAATTGCATTAAAATAATGCTTAAAAAGCACTGCTACCTTTCAAGGCATAAAAGTTACATCTGCATCTTTGATATTTTTCAAAACTTGTTTATTTTTTTTCTCTTTTTTACTGTGTCTTAAACAGCAGTATCACTTAAGGGATACACAAATTTATAAATACTCTAAATTATGTGTCATGATGTATCAACTATAGCACTGTTTTATGGTAGTTTGTACACTGAATATGAAAGGGAATCTGGAATTAATGATTTATTTTGTACAGAAAAATGAATTTTGTAAATAATTGACTGCGTAAGGTCAATATTTAGAACTACTGTTTTGTATGTATTGTACAAACTCGGTAAAGTCAACATTCTTCCCTTAGGTGTTACTAAAGTCAACAGTCCTGTGGTGATCAGGCAATGAAGAAAACACTTCAGATCCCTGGCGGCATGGGGGACAGAATCTGAAGTGTACACTTCGGGGTTTTTTTACTGAGCTGCAGTGAAAGTGTTGTTTCACGTTGTTTCTATGCAAGTAACTTTTTTTAATTCTGTAGAGAAATACCTTGCAGAAAATAAACTATTGAGTTATTAATATACAGGCTTGTTTAACAATATACTTACTGAAAACAAGATGCTTTTTCTACAAAGCTTAATTTTTCTATATACTACAGCAATATATTTTCTTTAAATCAAAAAGGTCTTCATACATGTAGCCTTTCTTATGATAGGGTAGTTCTCAAGAGCAAGTACTGCTGACGTGGATAAGAATTTTATCATTCAGCTCTTAAGAAATCCTGGTTCCAGTGAAGTCAATGTGATTTATTACTTGAGATAATTTGGAGCCAGGGTTTTGCTGTTTCCTAAACCTAAATGTCAGTGCGTTTTGTAAGACCGTTCAGCATCTTACATCTGATTACTAATAAGAATATTTCTCAATATTTTGATATTATGCAGAAAAATTGTTTTCCAATTTGGGCAGCATTTGTGGTGATGCTTTAAACAATCAAACAAAACTGTCGTGGTACAAAGGTCATGTATATGCTGAATCAACGGGAACTACAGTTCTGATAAAGTGAAGTTATTTGTTTTATCCATCGTGCATTAAAAATGGAATGTATTTACCCTTATATTGCAGCATCGGCATTTTAGCATTTGTAATTTATTGCCTTAAATAGGACGTGCTATTTCTTTTATAATTTCCCCATTTAAAATATACAAATATAAAATACATCCTTGCTGCTGAGAAGGACAGTGAGAAAGATCTGAAAAGTCTCCTGTGAAAATGCACACTAAGTACCCTTCATTCTTGTAGTCATGTTTGTAAACGGGTAACTTTATACACATGTTCAGTAGTTCTGTTATTACTGTCTTTGTTAGTAATAAAATATACTGTTGTATAGTAAGAGCTTCTGAGTTAATACTTCTTATTAACTAGTTGTAGCATGTTTGTTGCTGTATTACTGTAGTATTTTTGCACCTAAGACCCTTTAATGTATTTTTTCTTAGAGCTGTGTGAGGTAGTAAGTATTGCAATGTTTTATCCCTCCTGTGTAAGTGAGAAACTGAGACAGAACAATGCTGGGAATTGTTCACATGAACATGGAGAGTGAGAAACTGAACGAGTGCTTTCATCCTAAATGTTTAGAGCGTTCTTTCTTTCATGACCTCTAGTTAAAGACCTCCTTTAGATTACATAGAATATGTATTTCCATGCTATGCTCTTGCTCAACCTTCTTAAAATATTGATACACATTTTTAATTTATCTAATATTATTCCCTTTTTTAGGTAGTTCAGTAAAAGTCATGCTTTTGTGGTAACTGCTCTAAAAAAGATGAATACAAAGCAATTTTGAAGTTACGGCAATACTGTGGGCTTAAAAATAGATACATTTTCAAAGAACTGTGAACTACTAACTAAGCAGTAATCATAACATCCATTGGAAGTGGTAGAACGAGGCTGTGGCACTTGTGTGTTCCCGTGCTGTCGTACCAGAAATAACGTGCAGAATGTGAATTCCCAAGGTGACCTTTATAGCTGAAGAGTTTGTGATCCCTGGATGCTTTAACCTTGAAATACCCAAGCAGTAACTGGAAAGTTAAACAGCTATTTGAATGCCCACAAAAATGATGGGGGAAAGAAGCTGAAAGAAGAGGTGCGGAGATGAGTGAGGGTATGGAAGTCTGCCTTACAGCGATGGACTATTAAGAACCTCATAAACAGTTTCTCTAACAAAAGGTGTTTGGGTTATTTGCTTTCATCTGTTACCTGACCAAAGTTAAAACTGAAAATAGACAATTCATATTAAAAGGCCTTTTCTTAAACTGTAACAGTAACTTGAACATCTCCATCAACTTAAGTCATTTAATTGAGACTGGCTATCTTCTGAAAGATGCACTATAATTTAAGACGGATACAGCCATTTCAGTCTTGTTTTCTGCCTTTGTTTGCAGAAAGCTAGAACAAAGGATACTGACAACTTCTGCAAGCCTTAAAATGTGTGTGCTAAATGGTCTTTTACTTCTCTTTTTTGTAATGGATCTCTGTCATAAATCACTTCAAAATATGCATTACACCGAATAGAAAATTGCATAGAAAATCTTTCGAAGGAGAAGATAAATCTAACATACTAAATCATATTTGAGTTGTGATATAAACAGCACCTGAGATTGCCACTACAGTAGCTTTATGGTACATTTTGTATACACTCTCATTTTACGGTCCTATTTTGCAATTTTTTTTAGTGAAAATTGGGATGAAGTTTACCTAGAGTATAAAATAAAGCTATGCACATATTTGGAAAAAATAGTCGAAGTTTGCAAAACTAACCCAGGATATGGAAAAAAATGGTATTTTGTTTCTATTGGTAACATTTGAAAGGTGCTATTAGCTTATAATAAGAAAAATATCTGCAATATTTAAAATATCTTTAAATCCTTTTGCTTTTTTAAACTTCAAAAATAAAAAACAATTCAAGTATGGAGTATTAACAAGCTGAAGCATCATGCTTTTTTCTTTGCCGGTTGTTCAACTGATTCATAGAGAACTGTAGGTCCTTTTTCTTTACAGGGTGCAGCATATATTTGGTTTAAAGATGGTAAAATCTAGTTGAATTTCAGAAGAAAAAAAAATATTTAAATATGAAAAGTTGAACTTTAATAAAAACAAGTTTAGCGTTCTACAAAGCACTGAAAAATACAGTAGCTGAATAGGATGAGGAATCACGTTTCCCTTTGAAGTTTGACCACCCAGTCTCAATGTGCAATTTCAGATCGCTGCACGTCAAAGGAGAAATGCTACATCCCTCCCTTGACCCTGGCCGCTTGTTGAATCGCTCTTTGAAGGTATCTGGCCGCTCTCTGTTTGGCTGCGCTCACTGGTAAAGATTTCTGCCAGTATTAACCACTGGCATTCACGGCAATTTAGATGGCTGGCACCAAAGGTATTTTAGAGTCTCGTGAGAATAAATGCTATTTCCTGTGCATTACCTTTTTTTGCACTTACTCTTTCACTCTTATTTTTGTCCCTTAACATGTTTATCTATTTTTTTAATGGACTAGAGTTTAACTGTAATTAAAAATAAAGATGTTGGGCAACCTATACCACGCCTTTATGAGCTGTCTGCTTTGTATCTCTAGAAGCGGAGCTCAGAGTATCTTTCTGATGTACATCTATGAAATCCGCTTCTGTACATTAACCGGATTTTACTTCCTACTAAAAAGCACTTGAGATGCAAAGTATAATTAAAAGATTAAAAACATGCCAGGACATTTCTATCTGAGCTCTTCATTAATGCTCATTCCCTGTGTTCCAACTTTGTTCATCAAAACTAAATCTAAAATAAAAGTTTGCTTTATCTGAGGTCTTACTAGTTAAAATAATGTAATGACAAACATGAAATCTCTTTAAACCTACCTTCATTAAATGGCTCACAGCTGGTTTCTCAGCACAAACAGGAGCTGGAGAGGGTAATAGTTTCTGCAAGAAGAGCTGTGTGGAAGAGAGCAATTTTTGTGGAAATGGGCACTCGGTGCTGGGTGTAGGTGAACTGGAGGGACACTGATCTCCGGCCTAGAGAGCATTCTCTCAGGTATGGCAGATTGTCATGAGAGAACGTCGGGTGTTTTAAGTGGAGAGGAACACACTGATACTTTAGGACTCACTCTTGACATACAAGGTGAAGAGAAACAGCAAGAAGAAATTTTACTTCCATTAAGTAGGTTTGTAAGTTACAGAGATGATGGTGGGATCATTAGGCACGGCCACCAAAGGGATCCTAACAGGAAAGAGTATGTTCCATGTTTGTTGTGTATGAAGGATGAGCAAAGTATCTATATTTTTATGAAGATAATGTGCATCCCAGTTTATCTTCCTGATGCTCTGCTTGACCACATAAAACTGGATAACGAAATGACATGGAGACGAAAATGAGTCACTGCCAGATAAGGTCCTAGAGAAAATTATTAGTAAGTTATTTAATTAGTTGATCACTTCAGCTAGCTGGGAAGCTGCATTCTCTCCAGACCCAGCTCTAGTAGTATCATACCTACTACCCGAGAGTGCATGCAAGTCTTGAATGACCGAGCTGAAGATTTGAGGATGCTGAAGCAGCTGAACAGGTTTCTTGGCACTGGGTTTGAGTCCCTGATGTTGCCCACTGGACACAGTCCTCTCTTGGGCTTGCTCTCCTTCCAGATTCCTACAGGTAGGGCTGTGATCCAGACTTCCAACTAAAGAACAAGTGGATGCTCTACAGGGACATCCAGACACGTATCATTCCGTGAAACATGAAGAGATGTCACTGACAGGGGTGTGACCTGCCACTGAGCGGATGAGATGCCAATGTGTTGGGCTGGCTAAAGTCAGGACTCACCATGGAAATTAATTGGAGCTCTTTTTCTTAAAATGTGATTTTTGTAGGCAAGATCATCCTGAGAATGGACACTGTGAGAGAAGCTGATAGTCGGGATGAGGTTCCCTATGGAGAGAAATGGAAAGTCACCAAGCCAGTAGGAAAAACCAAGAAAGCACACCCCATAAAAAACAAGGGAGGACTTTGCCTTTTAAATTAATCTAACCTCAACAGCATTAGATATTTTTAGGGCACACTTACTGAAGCTTCTGTATTTGGCAATGGCAAATTGTGAACTCATTTATGAGATTTTTAATCAACCAAGAGGTGCTGTAATTACAGCAAAGTTACAAGGACAGAAGTAAGGAAACCACACTAGAAACAAAGTCATGCCACACAAAAGCCCAGTTGGATGAGCACCTGCTGTAAAAAATATAACTCAAAGAAGGACTTGAAAAGACATTTTTATTCACAGGAACCTGGTAGGTTTTTCGCTGTTCTGGCCAAGCACAATTTAATCTCCACGTGAGCCAGGGATTCAGTGTTGTGCTTGATCCTTTCCAGCGCCATTGCACTAGTCAGTGGTTGATGCAAGTCAAGTAAGATTTCTATTTTAGCACATATAAAAATTTTAATGCAAGAGTTTATCTGTTGAAGGATCCTCGGGGCTAGCTATGGGATGACCCCACTGAACTGCTCATGGTGACCCTCTCTCACTGTGCCTGACCCAGCAGCCCCTGTAAATACATTGCCCTTTTGGTGACAGTGAGTCATCAGTGAACAGATGAGGTAGGTGCTGCCCAGAAGCTCCACAGCCCTGCTTGCAGCAAGCCATGGTGCTTCTTCGCTGAGGTCAGGCCACCTGGGGGGACAGTGTGGATGTGAGAAGCCGGGTCTCAGGAATGCCGCAGGCTCCAGGCTCCACCACTACATAGAATCATAGAATCATTGGGGTTGGAAAAGACCTCTAAGATCATCGAGTCCAACCGTCG